TGAGTCTAAAGAAACATCCCGTGCATGCCATCGCTATGGTACCCAAACAACTCTTAGAAGAGAAGACAACTGAGCCAACTTAAACACAGACTGAGCATTACATGTTAAGGAATTACTGTGGCTTTGGGTGAAATGCAATTGTGCAGTTTGTATTTGTTATGAATCTTTGCCTTTTAAAGATATTTGTTCAAATACTTCAAAATAAAAATTAAGTGATCTCTGAGGTTTGCTTCAAAATATCCCAGAGAAGGATGCAGATGAAAGATCACCAAGAGCTGGCAACTGCATGGATGAGGTGATAAAGAACATCTTCATTATCCTGCTACCACTGCTTCTCTGAATGGATAGGGAGACAGAGAGAGAGGAAGCCTTGCACATGCTAAGTACATACTCTACCACTGAGCTATATCTCCACTGAAAACTTAATTAATACATCTTAGCCTGATGTATTAGTGCCTGCCTATCTCAGACTGTTAAGAATTCACTAATGGGCCGGGCGGTGGTGGCGCATGCCTTTAATCCCAGCACTCGGGAGGCAGAGCCAGGCGGATCTCTGTGAGTTCGAGGCCAGCCTGGACTACCAAGTGAGTTCCAGGAAAGGCACAAAGCTACACAGAGAAACCCTGTCTTGAAAAACCAAAAAAAAAAAACAAAAAAAAAAAAAAAGAATTCACTAATGGATCTGAAATCAATAGTTCTAATGGCTATTGATATAAAGTACTAATATACAGAAAAACAAAACGCTAATCAAGTCTGGAGAGAGGACTCAGTCAGAAAAAGGACCTGCGATCCAAGTATGATGACTTGAGTTTGGATTCTGGCACATTTAAAAAGCTGGTTTCAGAGGCACATATCAGTTACCCCAGTGTTTGCCTCTCTAATTGGCTAACATGAGGCAAACTAAAGTTTCACTCAATAGCCAGCTTTATTCAGAGCATCAGACAATTTATTTATACCCTGAGGGAATAAGAGTCACATAAGTGTACAATCACAAGGACAAGCTGCATGTGGCAAAAACATTTTTCCGCCGGGCGGTGGTGGCGCACGCCTTTAATCCCAGCACTCGGGAGGCAGAGGCAGGCGGATCTCTGTGAGTTCGAGGCCAGCCTGGTCTACAGCGCGAGATCCAGGAAAGGCGCAAAGCTACACAGAGAAACCCTGTCTCGAAAAACCAAAAAAAAAAAAAAAACAAAAAAAAACAAAAAAACATTTTTCCACAGAGGCATATAAACAAATAACAACAGCAAATTGTAATGAATAATCTGAAGTAAACTGTCTGCTACACCTGGGAGGAGCATGAAAACACGTTCCAAGAACAATTCTGTGCTTTGAAGAAACTGAGACACAAGAAAGTCTCTTGTCTTGTTTTCTTGGAGTTTTATCACAAGCACTTAGAATTCTCCTCCAATGGCTCCATTCTTGGACCATTCTGACATCCCAACAGTGGAGCTGAGGAGACAGGATGATCCCTGAGGCTTACTGGGCAGACAGCATAGCCAAACTGGTGAGCTCCAGGTTCTCACACAGTAAGGTAACAAGCAACTGAGGAAGACACCGTGTCAACCTCTGGTCCCTACATGTACATATACACGTATACACACCAAAAATAAATAAATACCAGACTGGTTTGTCCCCTCTGCCATCCATACAGTGGTACTATTAATAGCAAGTACTAGAGAAATGATTTGAGGATAAATGGGATAATTCAGCAACTATCGCACAATTAATTACATTCCATTTGAATGCTAATAATGTTATCGTTGATTATGTAAGATAAGATGTATTGTTTTCATTTGCATACCGGAAAGTAGCTCTCTGACCTCATCCATCTAGACATCAAGCTGTCACTGGCTTGGCAAGGGGAGGAATACACAAAACAGCACTCTCCCCTCCTCCCAAGAACTTACAGTTAAAGCACACGGAAATCCTACACCCCATTACCCAGCTCCCACTCCCCACAACAAGTATTTTAAAGGTTTAAACTTTTATGATTAGTCTCCCTTCATCTATGGACAACAGGGTCCATAAGTATTAAGTGGAAGATTCCAGAAATAAACAACACACAACTTCTAAATTGCACACTGTTCATAGCATCACAATAATGTCTCACGGCATTCCACTGTCCAGCATGGGATGTGAATTATCTACCCACCCAGAGTACGCACACTGCATATTCTACCTGACCATTACTCATGGTCAGCTTGGTTAACAGGTCAGCTCCACTGAACCACAATGCTTATGTTTAGGCAACCTGTTGCCTGCAAGATGTAGGACACTCAGCTATTTCTCCAGCACCATGTCTGCCTGCACGCCACCAAGCTCCCTGCCATGATGCTAATGGACTGAACCTCTGAACTGTAAGCTGCCACCATAATTGAATGTTTCCTTTATAAGAGTTGCTGTTGTCATGGAGTCTCTTCACAGCAATAACAACCCTAAGCCTTCAAGAAGCATTCTCTTTTCTACCTGACACCCAAATGTGTAAACACCCAACATACCAGCCACATTGGCTTCCTTCCCTTTATCTTTACTGCCTCTTTGGGTCATCTCTAAGTCTGACTTTCAGAGTCCAATACCCCCTCTTCCTATTGGACAGGGCATCAAATTCACATGTTCAAAGTTAAAATACCTTCATCCCACCTGACTCTTTCCTATTTTTCCTGACCTCATTGGGGGGGCTCCTCTCTATTAAATGACCCAAGTTACAAATCTAAGATTACTCTGGATCCTTCTCTCTTCACATCCCTACGTCATCTACAAAACCTGACAGTTTAACCTCCAAATCCTGTACTGTAGATCGACCTGCTTCTCACCATCTGCACTGCTCCTGCCCAAGGCTGAGTCGCCATCTTCTCTCAGCTGGACCACTGCACTCACCGCTGAGAGCCTGCTTTCACTCCCACAGCTAATTCTTCACGTGGCAGCCAGAAACAGCAAGCGAGAGCAGAGATTAGACAGCGGGGCTCCCTCGCTCAGTCCACCTCAATGGCTTCCTAAAACCATCAGACTCCTGAAGTTCAAACCTACCCACGACTGAGCACTCTGCGTCCTGCCCCAGCCTTCGCATGCCACCGCTCTCTTCTCTTTCCCAAGCTAAAGGCTCCTGTGCTCCCCACCTGCCAAACCTGGTACTCACTTCATTCTCCACCTAGAACTTCCCAACAGTGGCTCCCTCACCCTGGGCTCAGCACCAAGGCCACCTTCTCAAAAACACTTCGGACTGAATTTGATTACAGTGAGCCCAGTCGCTTTATTCCGTTCATCTGTTTTACTGTCTGTATAGGCCTTTTAGCACTGGAAATACTCTTCTATTTACTGTCAGAAATTCTCATGGGCTTATTTTAAATAACTGAGAGATCTAATGAGACTTTAGGCAAAGTAAAGTTCACCTGCATTTATATCTATAATTTGTACTTTACTAATATTGTTGGTTTAGAGACAGGGTCTCAGGTAGCCCGGGCTGGTCAGCAAGTCACCATGTAGCTGAAGATGGCCTTGGTCCCTACTGCTGCCTCCCAAGCGATGGGATTACAAGTGTGAGCCACCACAGCTGTCTTAGAAATATTGTAAAATGAATTGAATTACCTCTCTTTAAAAAAAAAATGTGTAACTTAAAGAAACAAAGCAACAAAATGACTCCTAATGCCATTCTGATAGACTCATAGAACAGTGTCTCAGTCAGCCATCATCAGAGAAGCTTCTTCCTGCAGGAGATGGGAACAAATACAGAGACCCACAGCCAGACAATATACAGAGAGAGAGAGAGAGAGAGAGAGAGAGAGAGAGAGAGAGAGAGGGTTCTCGGAACATTCTTTGCTAAATGAGATGTCTCTATCAGACGGCCCCCACCCCTCCCCACCCCACCTCCTTCCCTACCCACAGCTCAGGGAACACTGTGGAAGAGGAAGCAGAAAGATTTGAAGAGCCAGATTGATGAAGAACAACAATGAAATAAGGCCTTCTAAACACAGCAGGACCAAAGCACATATGAACTCGCAGAGATGGTGGCAACATGCATAGGCCGGAATAAGTCTGGGCCTGATGGGGTCCCTGTACTGAGAGGGTAAGTGAACACAGCCCCCATCCCTAATTCAGAAACTGTCTCCAACTGGTAACTGCTCTCGCAAGGAAAAATTAGTTCTCCAACAGAGTTTCACTGGGTATACAAACCACTCTTGAGGGCAGCTCCCATGCCCAGAAGTAAACGACCAACAGAAAAGAAACTCAGTGGCATTTCTGGAGGTCCTCTGTCTCATAATGCTTTGCTGGGGCTTTTGGTTTCTGTTTGTTTACCTTACGGGTCTTTTGCGTATATCTTATGTTTTTCTCCAGTTTTGTGTTTTAAGGGCTTTCTCTGTGTGTGAATGTGTGTGTGTGTGTGTGTGTGTGTGTGTGTGTGTGTGTGTGTGTGTGTCTCGGCATCTGTACGTGTTTCTTGTGCTTTTTCTATGGTTCCTTTTCTCTGTTTGTTTTGTCCTGTTCTCGTTTGATTTTGTTTACTTTATTATTATTATTAGATGCCTATTTGTTTTCTAATAAGTGAGAGAGAGAGAAAGGATGTGGGTTTGGATGGAAAGGGAGAAGGAGAGGAAGGAAAAGGGTTGGAGGAGGGGAAAACATAATCAGAATATATTGTATGAAGAAAATCTATTTTCCATTAAAGAAAAAAAAGGTGTGCAACTTACAGAATCCTGGAGATTAATGTTCCATGTGTAGGTTTCCTACTTATTTAAACTAGTCGTTGTGACCAGGAGTGAATCAGTTATCAGTTTCTCCTGAGGGGTGGAATGCTTTATGTATTTCATAAGATAAAAAGTTAACCATTTAAAAGCAGTGTGTGTGTGAGTGTTGCTAATTAAATCTCTAAGAATAGTTATTTTCCTTAAAATGGCCAAGAGCACTACTACAGCAATGTCAGGAACCTATCAATTCCAAAACATTTCATTTTTTATCCAAAAGTAAATTTCTTTAACAAGAATCCCCAAGAATACAGGTGATACCTAACTGGTCAGGACTCCTCCAGGGCTGGAAATCCTTCTTTATCCCCAGGTTCTCATAGATGGTAAAGTGAGCTGAGATCCACAGAGATCACTGTGTACACACAGCGATCACACGGCTCAGATGAGTCTAGGAACAAAGTGTATAAAACCAAAGCCTTGTTAATTCTCCAACAAAACCCTGTGCTGGGTTTCTGTGTATGAAACATTGCTTCCTGGTTACCTCTGCTGCTGGCAGGCAACAGGACAAGAAAACTAAGAGAAACTAAGAGCGAGAACTGGAATTAAGGAGCTCTGTTTCCTCAAGAAGGAAAAAAAGTATGGAATGATAAGATGAAGGCAAAGAACCACAGTGCTGCTTTCAAGCTACAGCTGCAAATTCTACAGAGACCATTAAAAGATTTAAAAAAATGAAAATTCATATTTCCTCACTCTATTTACATGCTTCTGCATATTTCTACAAAAAACTTATTTCATTTGCATAAAATCTTCTCTCCCTTAAATATCAAAATATATTTGTTTACAACTTTGAAATACTACAAATTTTTAAACTATGTTGTATTTTAAAGTATGGTTTTAGTATGATCAGTCAGACCACAGCAAATGCTAGCCTTCACATCTCTGGCACAATCAGCTTCTTTAAAAAAAAATTAAAATAGCCAAATGAAAGCATAACTGTAGTATGTATTCCCAAAGCTTAGTCAATCAAATGAAAATACCACAGAATGTTCTTTCATCCATCCATAAGACACTTGTTCAACACCCACCAAATGTCAGACATTGAATGATGAATAAGTTACAAATAAAAAAATGAGTAAGATAACTCATTCCCTCACATGAACAAACTCTGCGCCAAGAAGAGGAGAAATAATACAACCGAATACAGCTGCTGGCGGTAAAGGAAGGAGAGGTAGTGAAATGAGAGGCAGGATTAGTGCCAGAAGGGAGCTGGGAGGAGTCCAGAGGAGGCAACGCTCGGTTTCTGTTCTCGGGCATTACTAGAGGTTAAGTACAGCATAATCTGGGGGAGGCGGGGACTGGATGGGCAGTGGTAAATTCGGTTATTAAAAGCAGGCAGCTGGTGAAGAAGGGCTTCTTCCAATACAAGCAGCAGTACCTGTCAAAATAAACGGTTTAGCAAGGGCTGGGCATGGTGGCCATGCCTTTAAACCCAGAACCCAGAATGCAGCCTGGTCCCTATATCAAGTTGGCTAGGTCTAATAACAAAAACATGCAAATAGTTACTTCAGATTGCAAGTAGTTACTAAGTGTGTGAAATGTAGCTCAGTGGAACTGAGATATGTGGTCATCAGAATATGTACGTGGGATGTCTATTTACTGCTGCACCTCTCACAACAGCAATGATGGGGATCAGCCTAGAAGTCCACCAGCAGGTGACGTTATAAAGAAAATAAGGTAGATGTACACAATGGAAATGTATTCACCTGTAAAAATGATATTGCAGGAAAATGGATGGAACTGAAGATTGTTCAGTGTCATTTAAATAAGCCAGACTCAGAAAGACAAATACCTCATGTTGTCTCATGTGTGGAATCTAGGTATAAATTTATATATGGGAATGGAGGAACAGGTCTAAAGGAAGTAAGGAGGAAAAAAGACAGGGTAATGAAAGCCATTTTCATTGTATAGTAACCAATAACTTTTACACACATAATACATGAGCTTTTGAAAATTTAATACACACACAAAAAGCCAAAAAAAACTAATAATCTTTTCCATATTGGTTATGGGTTGAAACGATATTTTGGATTATTCAGTAACCATATATTAAAATTAACATTATCTGCTTATATTTTTGTATGCTTACTGCAAAATAAATATGCTTCACATTATACTAATATTGGACAATTTGGTTTGAAATAAAGACACTGGCTGTGAGCATCAGCAAGTAATGAGTGAGGCTGGATTGGGTGGAAGCTACAATCACAGGAAGAATTCTTATGGAAACAAAGGATTCTCAGGAACGTTAAAGCACTCAGACATGACCTTCACAAAGGTCCATCTCAACCCAAGAAATGGAGGTTTGATCTACAGGAGCATAATTAGAGATCCGGGGCTTCAAACTGATGTCAGCGATAACTGAGCAAGTCAAATAAACTCGAGCTGATGAGGGATTAAATGTGGCCTATGAGAAGAACCCGAATTTCAAAGTTTTTGACTTGTAAAACTGGACGCAAATGACACCATCCAGCTGCATGGGGTTTGTCAGTTACCAGACATACTGAGTTTGGGGTGCCCATGGGCAGGTTAATCTGAGTGGAAATACCTAAGGTTGCCTACATAGGCATTGGAGAGATACAAAACTGGGGGTGTGCTAATAAGTTATAGATGGTAGGAGCCAACAGGAAGGATGGAGTTGGCCAAGAAGGATGGAGTGAAAAAGAAATAATTGAAGATTAAGTTGTGGTGGGCAGAAGAAAGTGTCCGGACTCCAGAGTTGACAACAGAAAGGAGGACCAGGAGGGGAATGCTTGAGTCTTCTAGCAAGTCTTTTAGAATTCGTTCTGTGACCTTAAAGAGATACAGCTGTGGGAATATCTCTTCTCCAAGGGCCTCAACTGATTTTTGACATCTGAGTGACAGTTTATCAACTTAAAGACTGCAAGCAAACTAGTCTTTCCTGTCACACATTTGAATAAACGCATTAATCAATGTGCAACAATTCACAGGACAAAATACTGTAAATGATAACATAAAACTGGAGTGCAGGAACAGAATGAAAAAATACAGATTAATAAGCATGGGGAAAACGAAACCTCCATTTACCTTTTTCCTCGATGCCTGTTATTTATTTATTTATTTATTTATTTATTTATTTATTTATTTATAATATGTGTATGGATGTTTTATCTATTTTTTTTTAATTTATCAATATGTGTATGGGTGTTTTGCCTGAACCTATGTCTGTACACCATGTGCATTCCCGATGCCCAAGGAGGCCAGAAGAGAGCGTTGGATTCCCTGGGACTGGAGTTACAAACAGTTGTGAGTAGTCATGTAGCTGCCGGGAATCAAACCTGTGTCCTCTGGAGGAGTAGTCAGTGCTCTCAACTGCTGAACTAAATGATGACTTTTGATCCCAAAGACATCTAATCCTGAATGCACAGGTTGGGCATACACATGTATGTGGTCACGCATACTCTGCTTGGGCGATGAGCTTAGACCCTCAAATTTCGGGGTGGAGATGAGCAGACAGGGGCTGGTCCATGACAGAAAAGACACAAAAATCAATCCTAAAAGAAAATCTACTTCCATAAAACTTCCCTCCACACTACCCAAACATAGGTACAAATACCTCCATAAAATGAATCCTCACAACGAATCTGCTATTCCCTGCACTCCCTCACCGGGGGGAAAAAAAAATACTGCCGCTAGATAGATGCCATTACTTTTCGAGCCCACGAAGTGAGTAAGAGTTTACATTCGGGGGAACTGGACCGGCCCTTCACACCGAGAAACACTGTCCCCTTGTTCACCCCGCGCGAAGCAAAGCGTCTGTACCCATCCCAACGCAGCTATGTCAACAGGTAGGTTTGGCTAACTACTTTTATTCGTCACATTCCATCCCTCAAGGATATATTAAAAGTAATTCATAGCCCGGGCCCAAGTGCCTTTCCCGTTTAATGACGGTGTAATAATAATACCCTGTCCCAGAGCCTGTGAAAGGCTCTACGCCCACCCATCCGGATCGCCACCAGCCTCCAGAGGTTTCTTTCTGGTTAACTTCGCCCTTCTCTGGATCTGCCTGCACCGCACTTTCCTCCTGCTTTGGGGGCTAACAAACCCCACGCTCCTAACTTTCTCCCGCTCCGCCCCAGGGCCGCATCAGACGCCCCGCCCCGCATCACCCCCATCGCGTCCATGCCCCGGCCGCAGACCTCCTCTCTCGGCCGCGGCCCGCCCCTTACCCTCCAAGTGGACGCCTCCCGCTCCTGCCTAGATCACCGGCCCGATCCCCGAGCCCGACCGACAGCTACGGCCCGAGGCGAGGAGTACCGGGACGCTGCCGGCTGCGGCTTCGGGGTGTTTGAAATCCCTCACTCTAAGGGACTCGCGGCTGTGGGCGGCGGCTCGGCGGCCTCGGCTCCCGGGCAACGGAGCGGAGGCCCAGCTTCCACCGCGGGAGGACCGGTCTCCGCCTCCCCGAGTTCCCATTGGCTGCTGGCTCCATACGGCCATTCCTATTGGCTAGTGTGACACCGGAAGACGGGATGGCCAGGAGAGAGGCATCAGCCATTGGTCGGCCGCTGAGGCGGGGCTGCGACCCGCGAGGACAGTTGGTGCGCCAAGCCGGGCGCCCAAGGCGGACGGAAAGGATGCCAACCTTCCCGAGGAGGGACCCCGTCTCTGGACAGGGTCGGTGAAACTAGCTGCTGGACAGAATCCTTGGAAACTGCCTGATTTCTTTCTGGATATGTTGGGTTTCATTATAAAGAAATCATAATGTACTTTCCGGGCTCCGCTGAAATTGACCTGTAGGAGGGCGTGAACTTGACACGTGAATGATGCTCCTGCTCCTGCCTCGGGGTCTGGGCCTTCATGGGCACATCTTGAATATAGTTTGAGCGTGATTTTCTGTTCTGGAGCGAATTTGGGGATAAAGGGTAATCGGAACACATTTGCACATAATTTATTTTTTAAAAGGAATATTCCGAAGTGCATGCCAATGGGCTAAGGGCGGCTGGATGGCTAATTTTCTTTTAAAAGTTGACAGTGCACACTAAACAGCATGAATTGCAGTAGGCAAAGAAGCTAAAAAGAAAACAATCTTTTTCACGGGGGCTTTGAAGCTCTCTTGAGCCTTGTCAGCCAGATGGTTCAAGACTACCCAGTTCCTGATTTAAGACTGTTAGTGTCTCTCTGGATTTCAGCCTCCGTGTGCAGAGAATCGAATTCTTGGACACAAATATGTTCTGATCCATTGCCCATTAGAGATTATCATTCTCATTTCTCACCTTACTTCGTTTTTCCACTTGTGCACTGTTTCAAAACTTTTGCTGACATATTTTCCTTCAAGTAACAGATGAACCTGCCTAAATATTGTAAATGGAATTTTCTGTAGTTACAGTGTATCATAGACGATAGCAGTTGTCCTTTAGTGAAAATGAGGAGTCCCTCCAACTGCAATGAAATAAATACTTCATATCACTTAGTTAAATCTGGTACTCCTCAGTCAAAATAGTTCACCCTTATTATTGACAGAGTTAATAGAAAGTAGTTTAACAAGCATGGGTGGACTACTTTCAAAGAAGGATGCTGGGGGAAAGTTGAGAAATATGCCATTTCCCTGGCCACCTGCCTTCCACCATCTCCAGAGGAGGACTGTGGCACTCAGGGGCAGCTAACACTGTGACTAACTGAGCACTCAGAATGTCCTAGGCTATAACATCCTATTCTTTTTCAACGCTTGACTTAGATATTGTTAGCCATCATTTATACTCCAGAAGAGAGATTCAGGGAGTAGTAAGTGGTGAGGTAAGGATAGTACCACAATACCATTAAATCCCAAATTTAGCATCTTTGGAGTGTTTCTCTAACAAGGTAATTGAGCAGTATCTAAAAATTCGGAAATCCCCCAAACAAAAAGATCTAATTGTGTGTAACATTTTCAGTACCCTTATTACAGTGTGCAGTGTTATTCACCCTCTCATTAAAAACAACACTTGCTTTATTTGACCTGGGGAAAAAAAGACCAAAAGAATTTATAAAACCCCAAAAATAAAAGCCCGTTTTACTGAGTTAACTTTTTAAAGGGCTATCCCAAGTATTAGATAATTTCAACTTTCTGTATGACATGGTTTTGATCTGTCATTTTGTTAAGACTAGAACTTTCTGGTTATACTGTTTCACTTCACCGTGTACCACACAAGATACAGCTTTTCAGGAAAAAAAAAAGGGGAATGAAGCTACCAAACCACATGCTAATATTTCTGCTAATTGAAACTATTTAACTGCATCCAGGTTTGCTGTTTCTAAGGATTATGTTTGGAGATGACTCCTCACCATTGGGTACTGTGGGGTTGTATTTTTAGTCTCACGGGGATTGATTCCTCTGTTACTGCTGTGATTTCAGACTCTATTGGCCAGTAAAGGCCATTTTTCTGCAGGACTTTGTCATGTTTAATGCTCTGTGGTAATGACACCAAGAATAGGAAACTGTTCCTACAAATGTTTCCTAATAGAATCACTCCAGTTCTTCCTGTGAGGTAACTACCACTACCCAAGAGTCGGAGTCGGAAGGACTTGTTAGGACTTGCAAACCATCCACTAGCCAGAGGCACAAGCAGCCTTGCTGCCATCAAACAATATAGAAATGGCAAGGATCACAGTTATAAAAGGGGAGGTATCATATATGCACATATATGTACATAATATAATCTTATCACAACAGTGGATCATCCTTAGCAAAAGTTGTTCATTAAATACCATTCTTTTAAAAAGTTGCGTGTGAAAGATACCTAAAGTCCCAACATTGTGAGACTCAGGCAACAATATCTTAACTTCCATCCTTGGATATATACATAGCAAGATCCTGTTTTAATAAAAAAAAAAAAAAAAACACAGAACTGTCACAATGTTTATGTTTTTTACCTAAATATATGATAAGTAACAAAGTTCGACAATTAAAAAATGGAACTTCCTGTTATTCATACTGCTTTAAATTTATTAATCAATGTGTTTGTTTACTGGGTAAATAGGTTGTTAGCATATAACATTAAGTTTTAAAGAACATCTATAGTAGGTATTTTAAAGAAACCAACTGGCTTAAGAAACAATGAATTTAGGATAAGGTTCAAGGCAACTGAAAACCTAGAAGGTGGGTTGTTAGGAAAACAAACGCAGTCCAATCTGGTTATCATTGTTCATCGTTGTGGTCCTCAGAGCTGTTGATTATTACACTGTATAAAGGATGAATTGTTGAATACTTGATGACCTTTTTGAGTGATGTACTGTGTCCGTGGAAAAAGAAACTGAGCCACTTAGATATTCACTAGTAACTTTCTTTCAAATCGGAGGGTGAATTATTGATAGCCTCTGAATTTTGTAGAGTTTATTTCAATGGGAGGGTGGACTTTGCATCTGTGTTCGGTTTTTTTTAAAAAGCCTGCATCAAAAGTTGAATTTCACTCAGATAGTTTTATGGACCAATCTGGTGGGCTTCTTTTTAAATTTAAGAAAAGCACATAATCCTAAGTTCTCCAGTCTGAAAAACCAGAAAATTCAACTAATTTTTTTTCATCCTTTGATACATCTCAATTCAGAACAACCACCTGTCTTAAGTATTCTCAGTTCATGCCGGCCATAGTACCTCACGGGTCAGCACATGCTTAGACTGTTTACGCAGAGGTGTAAAGGGAAGCAAGGATGGGTAGCCGGCTTCTGAAAAGGAAAATGATGCTGGACCAGAAGCCTACATCCTCAATCCCAAATCTGACTTTGCCTCTTATTAGCTGTGTGGCAGTTACAAAGTTCTTTTTTTCAAAGCTTAGTATCTTTTTGTTTGTCTGTTTGTTTTTCCGTTTTGTTCGGTTGTTTGTTTGTTCGTTTTTAGGAAAGCAAATCACAACATCATTTGCCACCGCTCTCTTCTGAAATGAAAGCCGTGTATTTAAAACTCAGGAGGCAGATTTCCACAAGGAACTGCTTTCTATGAAAGGGCGTGATGCGGCGCATGGCAGGGAGGGCTGGGTACACGTCTGGACTTCTGTGCACTTGTTTCCCTCTCCCCTCCCCTCCTCTCCCCTCCCCCACCCCTCCTCTCTCCCCTCCCCTCCCCTTCTCTCCCCTCCCCCCCTACCCTCCTCACCTCTCCCTCCTCTCCTCTCCTCTCTCCCCCTCCCCTCCTTTCTCTTCCCCCTCCCCTCCCTCCCCCCTTCCCTTTTCTCCTCTCCTCTCCTATCCCCCTCTCCCCCTCCTCTCCTCTCCCCCTCCCCTCCCCTTTCCCTGCCCCCCCCCCACACCTTCTAAGGGGGTTCTAATGAAATTGCTTAGCTTATCTGAAAATCCTTGGAAAAAACATATCTAAGGTCCTTCTCATTTTAAACAGATCTGTGGTTACATGGATACAACCTCATTTAGACACACTTGTCTCTTTTAGCCAGGATTAGTATTTAATCAAGAATGAGAAAGTACTGTAAGTTCAGTACTCTCCATAGACTGATACATTGCTGTTTTTGATCCACATTTACAGTTTCAAGCATCGTCAGATTTTTATAAATGAAAATGAACAGATAAATTCAGCCATTCAAATGGTCTCTAATGTTATCTTTGCCACGGTACTAGGCCTTTGTCTTCAAACAATATCTTGTACAGAATTCTAAATCTGAAATTAGGACTGCCCTGCTTGGTTTGGGGACTCAATCTCTTTCTCTCTGTGTGTCTGTCTCTCTGTCTCTCTCTGCATTCCCTCCCATACCCCACCGTGTGTGTGTGTGTGTGTGGTGTGTGTGTGTGTGTGTGTGATGTGTTTACTTTTGCCAGTTTGGTTTGTATTTTGAGAAAGAATCTCACTAGGAAGTCCAGGCTGGCCTCTAACTGGCGGGTGATCTCCCTTTTTGGCCTCCTGAGTGCTGGAATTCCAGGCCTTCCTTGTAAAAGCAGGCCTTCCTTGCCCTACAAAAACTGAAACGGAAAAGGTGGAGGCCCTAGCAATTCAGCATCTCCCAAAAATGGTGGCCCTCAAGAATTCTCTCAATTACTTGGCAAACCAAGGTGCAACAATTAAATACAAAGGCAGCTCCAACCCAACCATCATCACCTCAGTGACATGCTCCAATCCACCTGCAGTGGGTGCAAGAACCAAGAATGGGCTCAACACCCAGCACGGAAGGTGGTACTGGCTCCCCAAGGCGCATTGCTGCCCTGGCAGTAATTGACCTCACACTGGTCCCAGATCAGACACTGGTGACGATATTCGCGCCACAAAAACCAGAAAATTGCCACAAATCGGAGTTTTTCCCAGAGTCAGTAGTTAGCCCTTATCAGCACACCTCTTAATCCAGGGATCCCAGAGTCGGCTCCTTCTACTCCTGCAGCAACCTGAGGAAGGACGCAGCTGCATTTTGATAGAAAACAAAATTTTAAGTTAATAAAAATAAATAAATAAATAAATAAACCCCAGTGGAGCTGTGCTGCTCATGAATTAGAACTCCCCTCTCCCCCCAAAGCAATTTTTTCCAGTGGTATATGCCGTTTCCTAGTGTCCAGTGGGTGATCGATTCCTGATACATGCCATTACTTAAAGCAGAGGGTTATTTTGAGGATTAATTTTTAACAATATGCAATCCACTCAAGGAAAAGCTCTAGGAATTAATTTTTAAATATTTGAGATCACACACGTTTCAAGTAATTCAAAGATAAAGCCCGAGCATTAAATTAAGGAGTGATTGTCGAAAGTGCCGCCTGCGGAGCAAGCGGTCCGATCTACCTTCTCTCGGTCTCCCCCGGGTTCTATTTGTGGTTCAGAAGGTGATTGAAAGGACGGTGAACACAATGCCGAGGTCGTGATGGCCGCGAGTCTCCCGGGATTTAAGCCTCCCACCTGAACCTCTGGGTCATCTGAGCCGTGACGGTGACTCTGCCTCCTCCTCCTCCTCCTCCTCCCTCCATCACTGCGGCTCTTTGTGGCGCAGCATCTCGCTGGGCTCAGGGCCTGGCCATGCCTGTGATGCGGGATAATCAGCCGCCCTGTCCGTCCGTGGGGATGGAAGAGAAACTAGCAGCCTTGCAGTCACTTGGACTTGAACCCATTAAAATGATGCATGATTTATTTCTCAGGTGATTTCCACCCAAAGCTTTCAGATGAGTGAAATCTGGGAATAACCTAAAATTTTCCTCCTTTCCTTCTGTTTTAACTGTGGGCCTTTTTCAGCACCTGAAATTTTTATCTTGCTAATTAAAACAGTAGGAAAGCAATTTTGGAAATAAGATTCCATAGGAAAACAAACTGTAAAAGACACTTTCAGTTCTCTCATACCTAAGTAACTGTTGATCAGTGACCTACATCATAGAATGAAAAGATGTGCCCAGACTGTAAGGATGCTTGTGGAGAAATGTTGCCCCAAACACTGGCCCTTTAACAACAGTAGTTCTTGAAGTGTTGTTGTTGTTTACTGGTCTGCAAATGCAGTGTTTAATAACTGGCTTCCGATCTTTCTCTGTCCAAAGGGAAAACTTCAGCCTGGGTCCTCAGTCCGCTGTTAACACTTTCTAGTATTGTTTCATATTTGTTAGGTTTGGTTGTTGGTGATGGTGGTGGTGGTGGTGTATGTGTGTGTGTGTGTGTGGAGTGTGTGTACTTGAGGCATTCTCTACTTCAGGCTAACCTTGAATTCCCTGGTAGCTGACAATGACCTTGAACTTCTGGTCTTTGTGCCTTTACTAATCAAGTGCTGAGATTATAGGCCTGTGCCACCACCATAATGATGCAAGGCTGGGCATGGAACCCAGGGCCTCAGGCATGCTAGGCGAGAACTTTGTCCACTGAGCCACATCCCAGACATTTGATAATACCGTGTTACTGGAAAACATCAAAGAGCGGGCAGGCTTTTTGTACAAAACTTTGCAAGCAGTGGTCTTAAGTAAAGCATTTCCATTGTGTCAGCATCCACTTATTAGTGACTGACTACCCAGGAATCAGAGAAGCAGGTCGTGATATCTCTCCCAGGAAAAAAACTTCTACGTGCCTTGTCCCAACCTGGAATACCACAATTAGTGACTGGGACAAAGGCGAGGTAGATCACAACACTGTGACATTAATCCAACATAGTTAGGGATACTAAAATTTTTACCCCTGTAATACCAATTGAACAATACAAACAGTGGGGAAAATTATCCATCTTCAAAGTAGCTCAGGCTTCCCCTTCCCACCTGCTGAGCAGAATGTTGGCTGGGATGTTCTCACCTTGCTTACTTGAAATTGTAACTATTACCCTCAAATAAGCCATAGATAATTAGGACTCACCACCTTCCGCAAGACTACCAACAGGTATCAAGTCCCACCCTGGAAAATGCCTCTCCTCAGTTTTAGCAGAAGAGGCCAGAGTTTTGGAAAGTAGGAAAGAAACTCAAGTTGCCTTTGTGCGGAGGGTATTATTATTATTATTATTATTGCTTTTCTGGAACCCACTAGGTGGGAATGAGAGGTGGAAATCCAAATAAACATAGAAATCTATAGTATGTAAAGAAGGGGATGTTAAGACCTTATGGCTACTAAATTAAAGCCTCTTTAGCGTTTTGGTGTTGTCCTTGAGATAGAGTTTTGTAGTTTTGTTTTGTGTGGTGTCTTTTTGTTTGTTTGTTTGTTTGTTTTATGGGGTTGTGTGTGTGTTTGGTTTTTTGTTTGTTTTTTGAGGTGGAGTTTCCCTGTATAGCCTTGGCTATCTTGGAAATTCCTCTGTAGACCAGGCTGGCCTCGTACTCACAGAGATCCACCTGCCTCAGCCTCCCGAGCACTGGATTAAAGGCGTTGTTGAGAGAGTTTCACATTGGTGGGAGGAGAATTCTTTGATGCTAATGTAGAGTTCCAGTCTAGCAATATCTGA